GACAGACGCGCCCCTGGGATTCCACCTGTCAGCCACACAGGCACTAATCGACAGGCTTCCTATAAGCTGAACTCTCTGTCACCTCTCTGTCAAATCTTCATCATCTCATTCGTCTGATGACTTCCCTCTGCCCACCCCCATCCTCTTCTTATCCAATGCAAACTCCGCCCATCCGCCTGCCTGTATAAAACACACCAACACCAATCCTCCATGCCTGCTGCTCCCAAACAACATTCAGTCTCATGTGTAAAAATAAAGAAAATTGGTTTCTTTTTGCTTTAAGGAATAATCCAAAATCTTCTATGCAGCTTCTTATTAAAACAAACCCCATGAATCCCGCCCCTCCCTCAACATCCCTGCTTTTCAGCTTTAATGTGACAGAGGTGGGCTTTAATGTTTGGTAGTAATTGGGTGGGAGAGGGAGAGACTGTTTGGGAGGAGGAGGAGGAGGAGGAAGGGTCATGGTCAGGTTTCTCATGGAGGTTATTCTGCATCTGTCTCTTAGCAACGACAGACCGCTCTTTGTACAGTCCTTGAGTTGATTGGTGTGTGTGTGTGTGTGTGTGTGTGTGTATTTTTTTCCCTCCTTGGTCGCTGAAATGTTTTGCGAGGGGGGCTCCTCAGCAGACAGGCTTCCTCGCATATTCAGTGCTTTTAAGATTTTGTTTCCATGAGCGTCAGATGGGCTCGCTGAGGCGTGGCGCTTGCTGTATCTTCACCTCCACGGGTTTACATTTGCATTTCTCAAGTGAGGGTGAAAAAAAAAGACAGAAATGGAATTTTTTCAGTGAGCATTTGAGACCAATGCTCCTTTAATGATGATTGTGCTGTGAATCTTAATAACCTTTGCCGACATAAGTTTTGGCAAACGGTGTTAAATGATATGGCTGCACCGCTAAAGTTTGGTGGTTTGATGTTGTCATGTCTGCCTTCTCTTTAGCTGGTATAAGGCGAAAGGGCAGACCGGGGTCAAAGGTCATTGAATGGATCCAGGGGAACCTCTTGAATCATGCCACCAGCTTCAAGGCATCTGAGCAGGGAGCTGGAGTGGCATGATGTCAGTCTGAACAGGATTAGTAGGGCAATTCGGGGACAGGGAAAGGAAATAAGAAGGAAAGCCAGAACTTGGCCCCTTCTTCCCACAGCTTAGGTTTGCCCACAGATAAACAAATGAGTACAGTAAGCAAAGTTCACCCATTTCCATGTGTAGAAGCACAAAATGATGACAAAACTGTGCTTTAGTTTGACCTAATTTACTGACCAGAGGGAACAAACATATCTGCATCAAGGCGTTTTTCCACAGTATAACGTATTTCTGGGACTTTATTACAAACAAAAGTAGCAGCAATTCTAAACTGCTGCTTTTGATCACTTGCAAAAGATTTAAAAATATGTTTCTTTGATCCGACGGGGCTTCCGTGTTAAATGTGTCCCAGAAACTTCGCTTTTGAACAGCTTTTCCGCGCAAAATGTGAAACTTGTTCTCAGATGTTTCAGGTCCCTTTAATGCCAGTTTCCAGACAGATGGAGCCCCATTTCGGAAACAAACGTGCTTTTAAGTCTTCCGATCACACTTAATCTCTGTACCAAGCCAATGGACTCTTTACTGACTTGTACAATCATTTATGTTCTGTTAGCCCACTGTATGGGAAGACGTTTGTATTTAGAATTAAACACCTTGCTCTCAGTAGAATATAAAAATGTCCTCAGAAAAGAGGAACTGTTTACCTTCACTCTGAGTCTCTTTGGCGGTATCAAATGCAGCCACTGTATGTACGCTGAAAACAATAACTCTTTCCTCAACGGGACAAAGTTCAAGGCTGCAGTTCTTTAAAATGCTTCACAATAAAAGCACAAAGGTACACTAAATATTAGGGGGGAAATGGATATATCTCTTACAGAAAATAAGATAAAAAGTTCAGGCGCCCATAAATAAATAAAATGAACGACTGAAGTAAATATACAGTAAAGATCGATTAAAAGACCAAGCTTCCTTTACTCGCACATAAACCCTGCCTCACTGTGGGAGCATTTGTTTCTTTATTTTTCTTGTTGTTTTCCTGCTCTGAAACTTCTTCTGCTCCCTTTTTCGTTTCATCTAGTATTTTGCGTTGTTGTTTACAGCGTTATCACAAATACACAATTATTTATTATATAAGAATATTTTTCCAAAAGAGAATTTTAAGCAGACAGGTTCAAAAGTCTTGTATTTTATTTTCACATTATTATCAAAATAAAATTTAAGGAATGGTCAAAATTGTTTTGTTTTTATGTGGCTAAAAAAGTCGGTGGAAGTTGATTTGAGAACTGAAGGTTTTAATGTGAAATTTTAACATAAATATGTAGAGGAAATATATAATATAAAGTGTGCTGTAAAACTTGTCAACACATTCACCTGTAAAATGTTTAAATGCACAGAGATAACAGTTATTAACTGGGCTCCGTTTCAAGAAATATTTGAATTATCAAATCATTCCAATAGTTAATTTAAGTGTCGCAGTTTCTTCTTAATTTAACCGGCTCTATGACGACTTTTAGACGTTTCCCGTTCGGCGTAAGAACCCACTGAAGTCCCACAGTAAGCGGTTCAATTCAACCAACGCAGAGAGACATAAAAGAAAAATATTAGGGATCCAACAGAAAGGCGCATTTCATAATATATTGACAGCTTTCCGTTTTTCAAAGTAAAACCACTTTAAAGGTGCATTGCCACCAAAGAAGAAGAGGAAAAAATACAAAACTGAATATATGAATTGTTTGTTTCTGGCGAGAAAACACAGGTGACAAATTTTCTTTAAAAGAAATAATATTTCAAATATTTTCTGGATTTCTATAATGTTAATAATATATCGATATTATATAAAAGTTAAGAGATACATTTAAATGTTTAACTTATAAAATTCAAAACAACATGGTAGCTTTGAAAGTGAAATTTAAAATAAGAATCCCTTCAAAATCATAGTTGATTAGAAAGATAATTGATAATTGATTTAAAGCGCCTTTATTTAGAAAATAAAGGCGCAACGTTCCAGCAACTCAACTGAATTTCTCAGGAGTTGTGTTTTGTACTTTTATTAAATCAACCGTTTTGTCCACCAGGCGTTCTAAAAATAAATAAATAAATAAATAAAATGTGAGAGGAAAAAAAGTCAGTCTTGGTCTTTTCTTTAAATAACACAGAGCGGGTGGAAAACTTGCAACAATACAGTTTTTTAATCTTTTTATCTTTTATGCACATTGAGTTAGCGCGTGTTTAAATGTACCATATAAGAAACAGTATGTACGTGTATGTGGAATTATCGATCATTCCAACAAACGGGAAATACATGAGATGTTATGCAATT